AGTGACAAAAGGTCAATTAGGGCCATGTTTTCTTTTCCCATGGAAAATGCTGACTATTTGCCCTTGGTATTTTGACAAGTTTAGACCTGTGTGGCTTTTCCAAAAAAAATGATTATATCTAGTCCAGTCTTTCAAGCATTCAGTGAGTGTGACCCTCCATTTTTGTCTTTGCAGCTTATGTTGTTTTCAGGAAAAGGGGAAAAAAAGTAAACTATGTTTTGCATGGCTGAGTTTAGTGACTGTAAAAATGTAAGCCACCAAAAAAAGCAAGGATGGTTTTGAAAGCTTTTATGAATACACTGTAAGAAACTTCTAGGTTCATTGCAAAAGAAGCAACCATTTTCTGCTCAAAATTATGTATTTGATAATTGTGCAAAACATATTTCCAAATAAATTGAAAAACACTAATGTAATTAAAAAAATAAACAACAAAAATAAGGGAAAACAGAAGTTGCAAGACTGGTTTCAATAAGTCCTGTTGCTTGTTTAAAAAAAAACATGTGGTTTCCTCCTATTCTTCCTCTCACTGAAAATCAGACATCAAAAGCAAAGCAAACAGTATAGATGTTCAATCTATCAATGTAAATTGGCTCAGCACTGGTATAACTAGCACATAAATTGCATGAGGAATAAATATACAGTCTGTTTGTTCTGCTGTCGAGAAAATACTGTTCAATTAGTTTGTACTATCATATGATACACAGTTTCTCCCTTTCTGTGGGATATAATTAGGAACAAGATGTAGCATCTGAGGGACTCATGTCTTTGAAGAACATGACAACTTTTGAATAAATAAGAAGGAAGATGTGAATGTTGCCGTGTACCCTTCTTCTCACTGTGGGAGGTTGAATAGGCCTTTTCCTGTATGGACATTTAATTTGCTCATTTGTAGCTAGGCTTGCATGAATCACTGCAAGCCTGATCTGAGAGATGGGTTGCACAGCTGTGTGACCATCTGGGAAAGAGGAGGAGAGGAGGGGAAAGCCTGATCTGAGAGATGGGTTGCACAGCTGTGTGACCATCTGGGAAAGAGGAGGAGAGAGAGGAGAGGAGAGGAGAGGAGAGGAGAGGAGAGGAGAGCGAATAGAAGAAAAAGTGGTGACAAAATGATGGAAAATGGCAGATGAGTAATTAGGGAAGTTTCATGTTACTGTCCTTCCAACTAGTCACTGTTTGTGAAAGTAGTTGAAAGCAGCAAACCAGCCTGCTGTTCTGTTCAGTAAACCTTGTGGAGCAAAGGCTTTTGAATTTTGCTACAGAGCTGCCCAGCACTCTCCTGCAAAATGAGCATTAGGCCAACAGGCAGATGCATGAGAAAGCTTCATTTTTATAATGTAACAAAACTGCCTCTTATTTGAGCAGCAAGGTAATATGCAGCACTTTGTCACAGTCTTAGAAGACTTAAACTTAGAAGAGTTTTGTTGGAGGCAGCTGTCTCTCCTGAATGGCTTGGGACCAAAGTGATGCCCTTGCAGGTCTATAACCTGTGTAAGCCAAAGGTATTATTTCAGTCAATACGTCATAAAGCTGAAACCAATCCTGATATGAAGGTGGGGTGATTGGTTATACAGCATAACTGAAAGGAAACTCTGTTCTTGAAGTTATCTGGCTTGCTAACATTCCTCTCTGAAGTGCCAAATCCATCCAAACCCTCAGATTTGGTGTAGAAAGCATACAATTGTATTTTCATAAAGACATTTTGTTCCACCCTTCAGATGCTTTTTATTTAGGTCCAGTTTCTTATACTCTGACTGACCTTCTCATTGATCTTTCACTAAGCAGTGGTTCAGCCTGAAGCCACAGTGTCCCCAGGAGTGCTAGCTCCCAGCTCTTCATGCCAGGAGCTGGAGCAGAAGATGCCATGGGCACCAGGCATCTTTCCTGGGGAAGCATTGCCTGGTGTGGCTGAGGACTACCAGGGTCTACATCTCATCAGAGATGGGAAATGGAAAGCAGGGACATGCTTGTGTTCCCCCAGTACCCACAAACAATGAGTGTTGCTGATCTGATATGTGTCTTGTTGTACCATGTTTGATAGAACAATCATCAGTATTTAGGGGAGGACCTTTCCTGTGGCTTAAATCTTGTTCTTCATCATTCTGTAGAGACATTTTTCTAGAGTTCCCCAAGAATGGAAGGGTTTTTTTTGGGGAAAAAAACCCCTTTGTTTTGAATTTCACTAATTCCTTATGTTTTATTTTTCTCATAAGGGGATGTTTTTAAAATAAATATTTGAGATACGTGGGTGTTTTATTTGTTTTATTTCTAGTCTGTTGTATACATACACAAAAAGAACCTCTATGTCTATAAAATATAATACATGATATTACAGTTTGTACTAAAAACTTAAATGACAATAACATTACAGTTCAAGAGCACTGCTTAAACAGCACACTTCAACATGATTTTCTTCTTTTTTTTTTTTCCACAGTAAAGTTTCAGGAAAATATACTAAAACAGTTTTAATTCAGACAGAAAAGTATTTGCTCAACAGATAATGGTTTAATTAAGGTATCTAGTTAGCTCTGTAGACAACCATATGTATGCATGGTTCAAACATGAAGTAACTATGGGCTTTACTTCCCCCTTTATTGCTTGAATCATTACTGGAACAGGTTCTTATCTGTTGTAAATCGCTGTAACTTCTTTGGTTCTCATGCAATAATGCCAATTTATATCAGATGAGAAGATCTGAGCTGAGCTAGATTCTGCTCATCAAATTATATGCAGCTTGCGTTAGTTTAAAATCCATTGCATTCTTAGGGTGCTATTGAAACTTTGCATGGTTACCTTTATAAAAAATTTCCAGAAATGTGGGATGTATGAAAGGCCCCCAAAAACTTGTGCACATCTGTTTTAGATAGGAAAAGGCAGAAATGCTTTTAGGATTATGGGAAATCCTTTGTTAGCATGTTAATCTCATTAGTGAACAATCAAATCTGAGGTAATGTCAAGAAAAACTTGGAGAATATGCCTGAACTATATTCCAGTTAAGTTTCCCAGTTATTGGCCAGAAAAATTCTGAATTTTTCCTTTTACAGCAAACTGGGTCACCTAGAAACAGATTTTGAGACCTAATGATCCATATTATTATTTACTATTCCCAAGGAGATCTGGAGTTGAAGTTTTTTAAGCACTGAATTAAAAAATATTTTACTAATCACTGTAATTTTCTGCTATATGCATTTTCCAAGTTACACTATAAATTAGTCAATGAAAGTATGCAACTGGCAAATCTTACCCAACTGATAACGTAATTTAATAACCAACTGATATCCAGGTAAATAACTAAAGCTAATTCAACATATAAACACGGTGTATCTACAAGACCTTACCCATATCGTAGATGCTTTAAGCACTTTTTTTTTTTTTTACAAAATTTGCTTTCAAATAACATGCAACCTAGGTAAACCTGAGTGAAATTAAGAATAGTCAAGATTTTTTTTTCTGAGGTCTAATTGTATAGTATATTGCACTTTAAATTTAAACTAAACATATTTTAAAAGATGGTATGTTTAGAAAACTTTAGAACATAGTTTGAAAGCAAGAGGCTGGTATATGCAATATGAATAAGAAGTCCTAACTTGGGTCTACAGCTGCTGATTGCACTAAAAAACAGTTTGAAATAAATAGGACTCAGTTAAATATAAATATTGTTCAAAATGAACCTCAGCTTTCGAGAAGTTGCTTAGTCATACAAAGACTATAAGATATTGAGGACCTGACCTCAGAGGAGGCCCATGAAACCCCGCTGTTCTGGAGGAAGCTGCCTACACAGCACTACTTGCAGGATAAAGCGTGACTCAATACTGTACATCCTCACTTTTCTGTTCTTAGACATGGGACTTATTCTTTCTCTTTATAAAATCTTTGATGCGTGCCATGCAGCGCAAAGTTCCACAATGGGAGAACTGGCTTACAAAAGCTAGCACTTCTAGCCTAAGGAGGGCTTGCGAAGAAGTATCTTATCCCTGTGAAAATGAGCAGTGTATGGTCTGGTCTTTGTGAGACTGTCATGGTTTAGCCCCAGCCAGCAACTAGGCACCAAGCAGCCGCTTGCTCACTCCCCCTACCCCGATGGGATGGGGGAGAGAATCGGAGGAGTAAGAGTGAGAAACACTCCTGGGTTGAGATAAGAACACTTTAATAACTGAAATAAAGTAAAATAGTAATGATAATAATAACAATACAATAATGGTAATAATAATAATAATATACAAAGCAAGTGACGCACAATGCAATTGCTCACCACCCACCGACCAATACCCAGACAGTTTCCCAAGCAGCGATCGCTGCTCCCCGGCCAACCCCCCCAGTTTATATACTGAGCATGATGTCATATGGTATGGAATAGCCCTCTGGTCAGTTTGGATCAACTATTCTGGCTGTGCCCCCTCCCAGTTTTCTTGTGCACCTGGCAGAGCATGGGAAGCTGAAACGTCCTTGCCTAGCATAAGCAGTGCTTATCAACATTCTTCTCCTACTAAATCCAAACCACAGCACTATGCCAGCTACTAGGAAGAAAATTAACTCTATCCCAGCCAAAACCAGGACAGAGACAAAGACCATTAACAGAAAAATCCCTTTATTTTCTCTTTTCTTTTGGGAAGAATTGGGAAGAATAACAGTGTAGTTTGCACTGCTCTACATACTCTATAAGCTCAAAGACTGTGTCTCGGTTCTGCAAGCATATATTATGGAGGAGCTCTTATTCTCTCCTGTCCATAACAGGAAAATGGAGCTCAGTTTAGTCTTAGAGATAAACCCCAATTAGAACAACAAATCCTAACTCTATAAATTACCAGGCATTTATTTCAAACACTGAGCCTGCCCAAGTGATCATAAGTACTGGGAAAGAACAGATCTGAAACCAGATGACACAGCCTAGTGTCTTTCTTGATCCAAGTCTACTCATGACAAACTTTTCTATTCAGCCACTCCCCTAAACTCATCAGGATCTTTTATGTAATTTCCTAAACACCTTCTACATTATGCTAATTTTATAACATCACATACATGTCATCATTCATTAAAATCTGGAAGCCAGCAAAAGAAGCTATAGTGTTGGATGTTGGCATCAGGCAGGCAATCTGAGCTGCTTTGGGGTCATTATTTTCAGCTGCTCTTGAAAAACTGAAGATTTTTTCTTGAGGGCCCTGTTTGTCACTATTCTTCTCGTCTTCTTGCTGGCTTTCTGCCTCAACGATACACTCTGGCTCTTCATATTCTAGCTTGGTTTGTACTGTTGCACAATCAGTTTTATCTATCCATTCCTAGGAAAACAAAAATGTTGATATTAGCAGGGACTGAGATATCAATCAAAAGAAACCTGTCCGTACAGACACTGATTTTCCTTTGGTAATGGCATCTTTCCAGGATAAGCCGCAATGGAGAAGATGAAAAGGAAGCAATACAGACAAGCAGGACGTAAGACAGCAGGATGGAAGAGAGGCAGGATGGCAGGAAAGCAGACAGGATTCCACAAATACATACAAAACCCTACTTGTTATTGAGACCACATTAAATACATTTTTGTATTTAATCAGGACCTTCAGAAAGCCTTGGATGTGTAAAATATGTGGTGTTCCCTCCTTGATAGACTCATGCATTCTTTGACCCAAGCCCTGACTTCATCTACAGTGAGACTGAGTTTACATGGGGATTTACACAACATAGCATTTCTGTCTTAATGCTTCAGTATTAATTTGCATTTATATCTTTCTTCTTCAGTTTCAGTTTAAAGCTATCTTATATATAGAAAATTTTCAGTTTGTCACTGAAACATTATTACTGATCTTTGATATTGTCATTGGGTTTAAAAATGTAAATATTTGACCTGTCTCCACTCAGAGGAAACTTAGTAGTAATTAACATAAAGACAGTCCAATTAATACAGAAAAATACATCACACATATGATATCATGGACTCAAGAAACAGTGAGAAAACAAAAGCATAAACAGTGATCTATTTATTTGACAGGCTTTTCATGTCTAAAGGTTTAATGACCATATACCTCTGTGGCTAAGAGAGGATGCTTCCTACTGTGACTGATGCCTCCAAAGGCATGAGTGCCATCACTGGCTCAGTACTAAGTCCCACAGCACTTCACAAACGTAAAGGGCAAGATCAGGTTGAAGCAAGCTCCCTGAGCTGTTGTGTGCAGGAATGTATGCAAACACCACAATGGCATCTCACTGGATATTGTGCTCTGGACACCTTTAAATTCTTTGCCAGCAATTTCTCTGCCTCCTTCTATAACAAGTATCTTTTCACAGTGCCAAAGTAGCATTACACTGATTGTATGAGCGCTGGTGTTTGGTCTGTAGATCCTTTTGGTCATGTTGCACAAGGGGAAGGGCTTTTCTCTTGGGTCAGAGAGTGCTTGTGGTAATGTCTGTGCAGAGCAAGTATCAGTAGCTACTTTCAAATTATTCTCAACACTGTAGAGCTCACAACCTTGCTAGGAAGGGAATGTTTACCTGGAAGTTTCCATTATGATCATTGAAGAGATCAGCAAATATGTATTTTGGATCTGGTATAGCAGGCATGACTGATTTTTGAAGCCTGCAAAGAGGAAAGGAAAATAGAAATCGATGCTTTGTTATAGTGTAGTCATTCATACAAAAATCTACTTCAGCACAGTTCTGTAGCCACAAATATATTTTACATGACACTACTCTAGGCTTGATTTCTTTTAAACGTGTTCTAAAGTCAAAAAGCAATTATAAGAGTATGATAATGCCATCAGGCTAAGAGTGATTTTTCTGCTGGATTTTCAACCAACCCCATACTAATGAAATGTGGACTCCATACAAACTTCCAGCTAGTCAGCAAATGCCATTCTGCTCCATGCAGTAGTCAGAGCTTTACAGTCCCCTAGACAGGGAAGGTGGTGCAGCAACCAGCTGTACTGGCTGACTTAGTGAACACAAATGTAAACTTGAAACGTAGAAGTATAGGAGAAAAAACTCAGTCTTTGATCTAAAAAGGTTATCAGAGACCCATAAACTTTTAGCTCATTTTCTGAAATACTGCACTTTTGGCTTTTTTTTTCCCCACCAAAAAAAGCCAAAATTTGGAGCTTTTGCAGATTTTTTGTTGTTGTTTGTTTGTTTGTTTTTTTAAATTGTAGATTCTAAACGTGAACAGTCATTCAACTGCAAATACAAATATTGATATAGTCTTATTAAAGTTGAATACACTCAAGCTTACTTCAGCCTACTGCAAACAGACATTAAGTCTGATGACAGTTGCACATCAGTTCAGAAGAAATAACCAAAATAAATGGCTTTTCAAGATTTAACTAGATTTCTAAAAAAGAGAAGACATTAAGTGGAAGAGACAGAATTTTATCCTGATACATTGTCTTTTACCAGAATTGTTCTGGTTTTGGAAATTAAAGGCCTTGGTGTTTGGAAGACCAGGATGCATTATCCCTCAAATAGTAATTAAGCTACTGACTTCTACATCTTCATGATGACTTCATTTATCAGACAAGAATTTTGAGTGCTAAGAGACTTGATCCTGAATGATAGCTCTATTTTCATGACATGGTTATTTAGTAGTAACCAATAAAATTATATTTACCTCTGCCATTTACACAGAAGAATCAAGAGGGTAAGTATCATTAGAAGTACTGCCAGCAAACAGCTTAAAACAATTACTGTGCTTGACTGAGGTTTTATATCACCATCACATGAATCTAGGAATAATCACAAAAAAGTATGGGAAAAAATTATTTTTTGCTTTAACAGTAAATATTCCTAATTAAGTTAGAACATTGACTTTTCTTTAAAAAAAAAAGTTTTTAAGAACAGATAAGAGAAGTTCAATTGTTCAATTGAAACTGAAAAGCCATCCTTCCCCAAACCTTGCAACAAAAGAAAATTGTGCTTTTATTTATCTAAATTGACCGTGTGCAGGACAAAGGAGCGGGCTTACAGGCAAAGAGTAGAGGTGTTACAAATGAATCGAGTATTTCTTCTCATTTTCATGACATTGCATTGACAGTGATACAGCAATTTTGTGCTAAGATCTATATTACGTACACCTACTTACAATCACTAAAACTGCAAGTGTAATTTTGCATGTAGCCTAAATATCTTCTTTCCCAAGATAAAACAAACAACCAAACAACATTTCCCCCATCCCAGCAAACAAAAAGCCAGCAAACCACAAGTGCTGATACCCAGAAAGTAACTAGTGGCAGGATATCATCTAACACACAGATTTATAAAACTGATGCATTTGTTCACTTTTTGGCATTCTCAGTGTTTTTCCTCCAGCTTTTATAATGCCACCTCAAAACTCTACCTCCTACTACTGACCTTCTGCTCTCCACATAAATACTATAAAAAATAAACTGATTATTCATACAGAAGCAACTGTCCAGCCTGTTCCACCTGCCTGCTTTGTTCAGCTTCCCAGAAAACCACAAGAAAAGTTGTGATCCCCTGGTAAGGTATTCAGAGTTTCTGAAATTTCTTGAGCACAGCTTTGTTCGTAGCTTCCTCTGATGGTAGATTGGCAGTCAATAATATCTCATTAAATTCCTGAAATGAAGTGCTTGCCCCAAAGAAGGGGCTGTGCCAATGTCACTTCTGATCTAGGGGCACCCAGAGCAACTGAACCATTTGTCTGTCTCCTCTGTGCTTTTCATCCTTGCAGTTACCTGCTGGCAGCCTCTGGTCAAATGGTCCAGGTAGGGCTGTTATGTGCTCAGCTCTCAGAGGTGCACAGGGAGACATTGTCCTCTGTGTTTTCTTAAGGACATTTGCCAGCCACACCTGAGGGCATGCTTGCAGGTTCACAATTTGCATGGTGGAGGAGGCTTCTCTGGAGGTCAGCACTGTGGCTACTACTAGGTCACAGGATAAACATACCTGTGCTCCAGGATTTCGTCACAGCTTTGTGTACACAGATTTTCTTCACTTGAGCTAACAGCCCATTGCATTTTAGAGAACTCAGATCTGGGTACACTGGACATCTGGGTGTCTCATAGTTCTGATAAAGCCTAGTGGGTAGCATTTTGTGCTTAGCTGATACACTACTAATGCGCTGTGATGGTGTACTGTCTTTTCTTCACTACAGCAAGTATGGGTTTTGGTTTTGATAACCAGTAGAAATACTGTTTCCATCAAAGATGGTCAGTTAAATGTGTCTGTCTGGCGGGAAAGCAGATACTGACTTTGCTTCTATTTAATCTCTTTTCCCTTATCCTCCCTGTTTTGGTCAATCCAGCACATATGAGCATCAGACTGCTATGACCTCTGGTCCTGTAGTTCAACTGGATGTACTTTCAAAACAAAGTGCCTTCAAAAATGGGGCATCAAGGATTTTCTTAGGGTTAAATTTGATGTCCACTTATCATATGTGAACACCCCCGCCCCGTGCATCACATCACTGTCATCAGTGGACCCTAGACACTATTGTAACACAAATAATAAGGACACTCTTAAATTTGCTGATTATGGCATAAATTGATAGTGTTATTGGCCATCATGAACAAAGTGGACAGGAATTAAACATGGGCAATTAGACATCCACATGAACTTTCTTTGATAAGAGAAGATGGAGCACAACAGTACAACATTAATTTGCTGCATGTTCCCAGACTCTTTTGCAGTCACCCCTTCCCCATTTGTACTTAGACAATATATGAATGTAGCACAGTGGTTACCTAATAATGTGCCATTCATCCAAAACGTTTCTGCTTCCCAGTCACTGCTGTAATTAACTACGTTGCAGTAGGGTACTAGCCTCTTCAGTCTGACCCGGAGAGAATAGCATTTTCTTGGATCAAACCCTTGCTCTCCAACACTGCAACACTTAGAAATTCTGGACTGAGAAGGAAGGCATATCATTGTTAATCCTGATTTTCAAGACAGTGTTTCAGAATGCTACACGCATGGTCACAACTAGGACAAGGGATAGGCCAACCCAAAACCTCAGCACTGCATTTTAACTTCTCTAAGTTTTGAGGAATTCTGTTTCTTGACTGACTCTTCACTGTTCATAGCCATTCCTCATTCTCTGATATTGAGTTGAAAGTCATAGCAATCATCACGTAGTGCACTATGTTACAGTTGCATATTTACAGTATACAAAGACACTTCAATCCACAAAATATTTACAAGTTATAGTCGAGACTGGAAAGGTTTAAGTCAATGAAATAATATTTAGAAATACTTAAAAGATAACTTTGGAAGAAATAAAAATCCTGTGTCATCTTTTTCCTTTCATTCTATTTCATGGGTTTTTTTCTCCTTTTTTCTCTCTCTTAACTCTACTCTGATTTCTGGTTTTGTCTCCCAAAACTCCTCTCTTCTGAATGTATGACTTTTCCCTAGATTGTCCTCAGCTCTTTGGGTGGCAACTAGATATAACCCCAAAAGTAAATGATTTCTGGCATGGCAGGGATTCAGGATCTTAAAAATCTAACTGTTTTCTGCTACCAGCTATATTTGAAAACATAGGATGGGAGAACAATTTGGAAACAACTCTATTTTACATTCTGTGGAGATGCTACTTCCAGCTCCTTCCAATGTTGACTAAAAATGTCACATCTAACTCACTTGCCAGTCTTTGTCAAACTTGCTTTTGTATTGAAGCTCAAGTCTCAAGCACTTCACAGCTCTCTCTGGTTTATTACAGCTTACAGTAACGGTGTCCTCTTTCCAGAAGAAGGTCACATTTTCTGGTTGATTTGGCTTTACTAAGAAGAAGAGAAAGAAATTATGCTATAGCTTCTTAAAAAGAAGTACTTTGCAGTTAAAATTATTGTTATTCCTTCCTTGTCTCAATGTTCCTCTGAGTAGTAAGTGAAGAAGCTGGACTTTCTTCTTGGAGGATGCACTTTTGTATTTGACCTCCCTATTAAACATCAAAATGGAGCTTGGCAATATGACACTGCTCACCATTCAAGGTGCCACATTAAAAGGTAGATACTATCTCATGTCAGGATCCTATTGCAAGTACTTAAGGAAGAAGTCTAATCTCCTCATACTCTCTGCAATCAAGAGAAAGAAAGAGGCTTCTTCACTGGAAAGGGACCAACAAATTCAGTACCATAAAACCTACAAGACACACTTGTGCTGCTGGAGGCTATGTGGGGTATGGTGGGGCATCTGCAAAAAACACTGGGTGCCTACCTGTACACAACTGAATCTACCCCTCACTGTTTTCAGATGGTCCGAAGAGCATGCAATGGTTTGGTCTATGTAGGTGGTTAGTCTTCAGTACTGGGAAATAAAGGGGCGAGAAGAATATTACCTGCTTTCTCAATCCTTCTAGTTGCCTTTTTGTATTATGAAAATTCTGCCTTCCTAATTTAAAGACTTAAGTCTGATCCTTGATATTTGTACTTTGTTACCTAACTCTTTTGAAATTACTTTTACTATCAGTGGGTGCTTCATAACCAAAATTCAAGGATCAGGCTGCAGCTTTCCATAATTTGCCAGATATTGGTAAAATTATGAGATATAAAAGTATTCTCAAAATTAGATGTCTTGACACATTTTTGTTTAATCCCTCTTGCTAAAACATTATTAATAAATACTAGTAATGTATTTGGAATACATATATTTTTTCAGATAATTCTGCATTGTATATTTTCTGCGTGATTTTTATCAGAAAAAATCCATCCACTTTAAATGTTGTAACTATGTGCAGTTCCAGAAGATTTTGATAAACTAATCTCACACTAGATGCAAAATATATATTTGGGGGTAGGAGGAATTTAATAAAAACAGGAACTCTACTAGTAGCGGGATGTCTCTTTTACACTGTCAGGCTGTACCAGAGCCACTCAACTAATTTCTGTTGACATCTGATGATGATTTTATGACAGCCTCTTTGATAAGAAGTTGTTTGTGGCTTCGCATCCCATAGAAGATGGCAAAAGAATGGAAGGATGAAAATACGAGAAAGATCACACAGCCAGCACTAAGACAAGAAACTATCAACTTTTATTAATTTTCCTGGTATGAATACTGAGCAGGCCTGCACTAGACTAAACACACCCATATATTTTAGTATTTTCATTCTGATTTTGAAAGTGTGCTTTGGGACAAATCTGACTGTTCCATGTAATCTCACTTAGCTGCAGCTGCACACAGGCCTGTGTGACTAGTGATGACAGCAAGGGATAAAAATCAACATGAAATAACTATAGTTTGGTTTTGGCACACACACTGATAACATTTTATACACCAATATAACTGATTTCTTCTCAGACTAAGGACAACTAGACAATCAGTGAAGACCTTAGGACTACCAAAGTAGTTGTGATCTTACATACTTACTATAAAATTCAGATTTTAGTCTTTTAGAAAAAAGCTCTTCACTTCCATTGCTGTTCCTGATAGAGATGGCAAGGGTGGGTCCTTCTGTCTTAAAAAGACATCCAGAATTATAATCTTGATCCAATAAATAGGTGGGACATAGCTTCCAAACCTTATGCTTGCTTTCATCAAATCTGTAAATGAAATAATATTGGTGAATGGAGCACTCTTGCCAGTTAGCACAAGTTAATTCCTTTTTGTTTCTGTTCTTTCTTTTTCACTTCTTTCTTTTTTCTTTTTTTTTTTTTTCCAAATGTTCCTACCAAGGGAAGGCTGCACATGGAATTTCCTGAAACAGCAAATTTCATAGTAGTGAGAGGGAATTCATTACCCAAACCTCATTGACTTTCCCAGCCCTGGTTTTTGATGCAGTCCCAAATTAACAAGTTTCCTTCATGTTGTTGTTGTTGTTTTCTAATAAGAGAATGACTTGCTAGAACAGATGTTTTCATGAACCTGTTTCCAAGATTGTACTGCTAAAAGTTCTTTCACATATACCATCAGAAAGAAAAGGGAAGATCAAGCAATGACTATCTTTAACCAGAACTTTAAATGTCTGTTTCATTAATGACGTCAGTTAATAAGGAAAATATACACACATATGTGGAAAAACCACTTTTGATAGTATAATTAGTGTTAGCATTTAGCATAACAACAGAAGAGGGACAAATTTTTCATGTAATATGTGTTGTGACTGACTATTCAGCAGGCTTATTAATTTGTACACTTCTGTAGCAGGTTGTGAATATAAACAGGTTTCATGCTGGGTGATTAACAAATGTTAAAAGCATTTTCAGGTACAGTTCACAGAAGACTCAAATGGACTTAGATATTTCAGCCTCCCAAAGTAAATCCTTTAAGAAGGAAAGAATAGGCATTGTCAATACTCACGTATAAGAAAATGACACATTCTCATCAGGAAATAGTTCTCTTGCTGCCCATGTGATCTGCATCTTCTCATTATTGAAATTGATTATTGTGGTGCTGATGGTATCTTCCCAACCTGCCCAGGACATTGACAGAGAATATGATTTCAGCAGTGAGTATGAAAAACATCCCTTGACATTGGTAGGCAATCAGTATTTCAAAGATATGTATGCAATAGACTCATGATCATAAAATAAGAAGACATAAGAATATCTAAATGCAGGGAAACAGAGTAAAATAACCCAGAGATGTTGAAATTAGAATTTCAAAATAGCAAAATAAAAGCATACACAGCAACACCAGAGAGCACCCCATGGTCCCTGGGCCAAAAGGTATAGACTGGTTCACATGTATGCAATGTGACCTATAACTTGAGGCCAACTTTCCCCCTTAATACCTGCTAAGGCTTTCCTGCTAAGGAAAACTATCTGGGAACTAATGCCACATGGAGCCTGTGTGTAAACTGTCAGATGTTTACTGTAAGAAACAAGGGACTAACACCACAGGTCAAGACCTGTAGGAACCGAGAGCAGATCAGCACAAGTAGGTGTCTCGCCTATTTGATCTATGTGGTTTTGGCTAATTCCACCTTACAGACAAGAAAGGTCGTTTAATGTCCTCTGACTACACGCAGATATTGTTTCCTCTTCTGCCCTTCTCCTTGTTATAGCTCTTGCTAGGGACACGGGTATCTTAATTCTGTGTCCATCAGAACTCCACAATCAGACATTGAAGATAAATCTGACATTGAAAAATGGAGAAAATAAGAAGGCAGAAGGATTAGAAAGCCATTCTATATGAAGGAGAAGGACAAATTGTTTATTTTGCATTCTATAAGATGTGAAATTATATTTACCTGAATGAACAAAAAATGTATCTTGAATATTAGCAAGAAACCACTTGGGGGTAAAATTTGCAGACTGCTGTCCCCAGACATTAAGTGTCTACCACTAAAAACTTCTACTGGAATATTCCTGCCTAACAGGAGAATAGAGAATTTTAGCTTTGATTGTTGTCTACATTTCATGCCCCTCTAGACTTTTGAAGAGGTTTAAAGTGGAAAAATTTTAAAACATTTCTTACAAGCTTTTTATCATGTACAGTGATCCTTAATGTTCATGGGAATCAGGCTTAACTATCCTCATGGTTGCTATCTTTTGCTCTGTAATCAATACTAAGATTGTGAGAAGGCATGTGGGTTCAGGTAACCGTTTTGTCTGTTTTCATGGCTATATCTCTGTGTCTAGGCATTTCATGACTTCTGTAATTAGAGTTAGTCAAAACATTTTTGTATAGGTGTAACATGTTGTTTTCTCAAAATCATTCAAGAGATGTTATGTCAGAAATCCAAGAGACACTGGGTAGGTGCAGCTGCAGGTCCCGGCTACGTGATTCATGGAGCTCTGGTAAAAAAGATTCTGCTCTCACTCAAGAGAAGGACTTAAAACTAACTCCTCCATCTCCTAACTAATGCCTGCAGACTTGTTTCTCTATTGTTTTTCTCTATTGTTTTCTCAAACTGAAAGTCTCATGTTTTTCTGAAGAATAGAGAAGTCAGTACTATTACATGCTGAAGCAAAACCAGAACTTCAAAACCTCAAAAGCTATCATAAAATGGAATTTATCCAGCCAGTTCTACCTCTGTTACAAGAGACTACCTAGCCCTTGTTTCAGTCAATTTGGTCACAAGGACTGTGAAAAAGGGAGTTTATAACCTAAATAGGCAACACCATTAAAAGAAGAGAAGAAAGGAGAGGAAAAGGTTTTTTTTAAATACCCCCAAGAGGAAAATACTGCAATGCTGTAAGTTTTACCCCTCCAAGTTCAGAGTGGTAAAATAATATTGTACTGCTTAGTCTTTCTGAATGAATATTCTCTTAACTGGCAGTATAAATAACTTTTTTAAAAAAATTATGTTTATAGGGAAATTGGTGGAATTAACATAGATAGCACTGGTTCATTAATTGTGAGAGAGAGCACACAGAATTTGCTCATGCAAAATTTTTGTATACACCTGAGAAACACTATGGTGCCAATATTTAGACTGAATAGGTGATGTGTGCTTGGGAAGCTCCTTGAACCTGTGACTATGTATCCCTCAACCCTGGCACTGCCAGCAGAGAAATAAAAGTAAAGATTTTGATAAAGTGGTAACTCACACTTTCCTCTCCATACAGGCCAACTCTAGAAATCCTTTTTCAGGGTGCCACATTTTTCCTCATTACCAATGCAAAAAGAACACCAGCATCAAAACCCTGAATCCCATAAAGTTCCTTTAGTGGGGTGTTCAATCCCTTAAAATTTGCAGTGGGTGAGTCAAAGCGTGGTTGTCTCTAGAGACGGATAATAAGGAAACCAGAGAGACCACACGGGATTTCCACACACTAAGGAGTGAACACTAAGTAAAACCTGAAGGTCTGATCTGACTAGCTTGTTAGAAGGCAACAAAAGTTACCAATTCATTCTGAACCTTGGACAACACATTTTTCTCCATTTTTCAGTTATATTGTGATAGCTTTATACTACTTATTAGAGACTGCAATTCAGAGATGCACACTAAATCTTGGTTTTGGCAATGCATATTTTTTTGGATGACAAGGAAGGATATCAGTTTGGCTCCAGTCCTGCAGTGATTTATCGATGGACTTAACTTTGCACACTCTGAGTACTCCACTTGACTACAGCAGGATTACTCAGAGCGCATCAACTTAACAACACATAAATCTTTCTAGGATCAGAACCTTTTTCTGCAAAACCCCTACACATTATGAATTGAAACTCTGGGATTTTAACATTTAAATATAAACTCCAGCAACTGCAGTTATTTATGTACTAAAATGGAAGGTAATACTTTTTAAAATACTTTAACAATAAATAGAATCATTTAATAGAAATGGAACAGAAATTGTAATAAACTAGCAGGTGATGCATACATATTCTTTCCTGTCCTCTGGTTTTTAAGAACTTCATAAGAAATCAGTCTTACACATAATTAACTAGCTGTGTAGGACAGAAAACACTTTACCAATCTCTTATTATTAAAGAATGTGTTTCTAGAGCTCTAGTCGGGGGAATTTGCTACTGTGCTTTTTAATTTCATGAGTTTTGTAGCCTTTTTGAATGTGATATGAGCAGTGTTTTGTGTAAATGTTCAGTAAACGTGTGCATTTTTTCAAATTATAGCATGTATATGTTGCATAATTCACATTTCAACATGAAAAGATACATAGCCTAAGTGAAGTTTTTAAAGTTTGTATTAAATTGGCATCAAACCCTCTGAGGATATGTGCAGGTTATCAGAAATATGGTATTTCCTTCTGATGATCTTTCCTTTGCCTTTAAATGAAAAGGTGGTTAGTTTGTTTGTTTGTTTGTTTGTTTTGTGGAGCACCTATACACCTATACTTCTGGAGGCAGAATCATTCATATCTTTTGTTAATGGAAAGAGATAGAGAGAAAGAGAATTAAGGGGACTATTTCTCTTTTTTTCTTTATAATGGTATTTTTATGAATTTGCCTGTAACACCATGGATCTTTCTCAGTTAATGTGCCAGCTCTTCCACAGTAATTGTAATTATTTAAAGCATTCTTCTATTCATAAAGCTAGAGGCACACAATAGACCAAAGTAACACATTTATCATTATTCTTTGTATTATGATAATGGGCAGATGGGAAGGTCAAAAATGTTACGAATATTAGTCCCTGGGCTAAAGAGGGGTGGCAGCAACTTTCTGTCTGAGGATGGCCTGCTGGTCTAGCTAGGTATACAGTATGTTGCAGTGCTGTAGGACACATACCAGTGCCCTGGAGCATAAGCTTCAGAGAGAATTATCCAAGTCGACATCTTCGGTAAAACCAGTTGGGGACTGGTAGGGCTCCACACAAGTCTTTAACCTCACAGGCACTGCTGGACAGAGAAGTGTGGAAAATACCACTACGGTGTGTGGAGAAAGTACTTTTACAGGGGAAAAAAAGAAATTTCCTTGAGCAATAAATTATGCAGGCACAATCGTGAGGAAGAATATGAACAAGTACATTCCACCTCCAAGCCACTTTTTAAAGTTTATTACTGAGAAAAAATACTATTCAAGGGGAACATTGTAAAAAGGCTGAATGTCATTGAACAGATCAAAACAGAAAAAAAAGAGAGGCAGAATGTCAATCTGCAAAGATAACAGAATGGAACATGCATGTACTGGAACAGTTGCAACCTCATTGAAACATAACAAAAAAGAAAAACCACTTTTGATTTCCTTACACTGATGAAACCTGATAAGGAACCACATGTTGAACTTCCACATATTGCAGCACACTGTATAGAAACTACTGGAGAGCAAGACCCAGATCTGAGCCTACAGCCTTTAGTTACCCTTAATACTACTGATCTGTGGGAACAGTTTCATTTCATTAATAGGAACACATGTAGGCGAAAGTGCAACTTCTTGTGCACAAGACTGCTGAATAGAATGCACAGGTCAGAGACTGAAGATCTCTTTTCAAGAAAAGGACCAAGACAGCAAAAGAGAGTTTTTTATAGACATTTTGAGGCAAGGCATAATTCTTATAGCATAATTCTTATAACCCATCAAACTGAGTGGGTTTTTTTTCAGAAGATTGCCAACCATTGCTAGGCATCACGACACTTTGCATCAAATAAGCACCAGAACTGTAATTTTCAACTTTTGTTCCACAGAATCATGCCACCAGTACAACATGGCTATAGGTGGCTGCCATCTCAGGACAGGGAAGATTCTTGTCCCCCCACAAAACAGCCAGTGACTCACAGGAGCAATTAACACTGGAGAACCAGGTAGTGCTGCATTGCCGAAAATGGTACTTACAATACATACAGCAGAACAGAGAGCTGATTTATAGGTTGATAAGACGAGAGCATAACTTTAAAGCATTTCTTTCTCCTTGTAAAATGAATGACAGGGAACTTTTGATAAATTAACAAGAGTGAAGATTAGATTATCGGTCTATGTGTTGGGCTTTATGTCTGATTTCTGTAAGAATCCATTTATCTTTGACAAGCTATAAGTAATGGCATTGCAGAAAAACACATGAAAAGGAGATATTCTTATATTTAGGTAGCCAAATAACCAGTCTTTAATGTCTTTATTAATTTTGCTGTTTAATAGTATTTTTACCTTTATGATTTCTCAGATGCAAAATATTGCTGGATCCCATCGTGTTCATTCTTCCAGAATACTAAGTGCTGAAATCTTACCTGGAATCTGTTTTATCCATCTTTGTTCATTGTGAAGGCTAATCTTTTTTGGATGCAGTCTACTCTGTCATAACCTATGCCTTAGACAGTAAGTAGTCCTGCTTAAAGAACAAACGCAAGCTTGTTGAATTCTGCCTTGATTTTTAATTAGAAAACTTTCATAGAAATCTGTTATTATCATCATCTTTTTTTTTTTTTTTTTTTTTTTTAAGAATCCACTTTCATCTCTGCTGGATATCAATTTCTGTTTGGTTGATTCTTTTCACCAAAAAAAGTACTGAATATAGTAACACGTGAGGTGAAGTATGCACAGAAATTTTGTTAACTAATATATGAATTTCTTAAATAAATATCTGTGGATTTGAACTTACCGGGAGATTGTGACTGAGAAGCCAGCAGGTTGCCTAGTGTGAAGATCACTGAACATGCTTCAAAGATGAGTCTCATGGTTGGAATGACACAACAGACTGTGAAAAGATGAGTAAGTGTAATCTCTGGACTTCACTATTTGATCACTTTATATGAGAGCTGGAGACAACTGGAGGAAATGACTACAGGAAATAAAAAAATTGACATCTCTCTAGCTATAAACAAATCAGAAGTTCAGGACTTCAGAATGCACACTTTCTTCGTACGATGTTAAAGAAAATAAAACTAATTTCTCAGAATATGTGTATCTCTCTTGTCAGCACTTTGCTTTATCTTTTCACAGCTGTGTCAATCAGAGGTGACCGTAGCCCTAATCCAAATGAGGACCAGGTAGCTGTGCATAGCTGTGGCCACATCGTATCATGGATGAAGACACTGACCTCAAGGTGCCCAGTGACCTGAGGGTAGGAGAAGAACAAACAGCCTGCCTCCCCTCTTACAAATCAGGAGCTGTTCCTGCTAGCAGGTGTTTATACTGCCACTCCACATGCCTGGTGCACCTCAGCTGGCTTGAGCTACTTCTGTCCCCAGATCAGAGGCAGAAATTGTGGTCCTTTTTGTGACAGAGAGAGCTGAGCTGCTAGGGGTAGGGAGGCTATTACACAAGAGGTAGCACTAGGATGAATTTCATTCTGTGTTACCTGGACACATATATGCTGCTATAGCTTCCAAATATATCCATATACCTAAGATTATATATATACACAATACCGTATATATCCATATGCCTAAAATTATACATAGAAAGTGGAAAATAGAACAGTGTTTTGCCTGAGATGAAACATATTTTAGAAATAGCAGAACTGAAAATCTTATGATAATCACGACTATCATGTCTAAAGAGACCTATTATCTGTAGGCCTGCAGTAAACCGTGCTTAGACTACGTCCACATAGTAGTGTAGCAAGCAGGACCAGTGAAGCAGTGGGGTGAAGCAGTTAGTGCTGAGGATTTAAGAGCCACACAGTGTGCATGAGGACAATGGAGAGTCTTCTCTAGACTAGCACCAGTCCAGCCCCATGGGCAGGATGCCTGTTAGCAGTCAGAGTCTGCTAGATGCCCTCCTGGGGCACATCTTCTGGGCTAGGCTTACCCAAGAGGAACCCAGTGCTCCACTGTGTGAACAAAAGCCCAGGGGCGATTGGGAGATTCACTTCACAAGGATGGTCCTAATCCAAACTGACCAGTCAGTGTGGTCCTAGCCTGCTGTCCTTGTCTAGCAAGAGCTCAGGAAGACAGCCCTGAGTGACAAAGTGCTCTCTTCTCTGGGCTTGCTGGCGGCTCCCTTCACACCCTGGTAAAGGTTTACAGTTTGCTTTTCTTGGGACATGTGAAACGGGCAAGCACACTGACTCCCTTCAAATCCAGTCTCTCCCTTCATTAAGCATCACACAAATTGTGCTGCTCCCTGAAATCAACAGGTAAAAATATAAATGGTAGACCTCAATTCTTATCTCTGTTTTCTAGCTGGTCTCAAGGTTTTTCTGTGCTTGCATCAGAAGAAGTACAGCAACCTACTTCTCATGCAGGGGTGTGCTTGGGCTGATGAATGTCTCAGTCATTCTGCATGCAAAGTGGCCTGGTCATACACACCATACTGCCTTCTGGAGATCTCATCCCCTAGACTACTTTTTGCCTCCAGTTTCTCAAGTAGGGAGAGTGGAAGTTTGCCTGCCGCACATGGTACTAGGTAGGGAGCTGGATCATGGCTGGGAATACACCCAGAAGTGCTGCCATGATTTCTGTTTAGGCTTATTTTCATTCCTCTCAGAGCCTTCCCTAACATGTTCACTGCCCTTTTTAATCCAACAGTACTGTTTGTCAGATGAGACCCTTATCAGCTTTATCACATCACCAAAGTCTCCAGCCAGGTGCTGTGATACCAGTTTTGATCTGGCTATTCACTTCTCTTGGGTTGACTACTTTCACTGGCTTATCCATTGCATGTCCCAAGAAGACCTATTCAAATCTCAATGACTCTTGGAAACCCCAGCGCGACTGTCTCACACACATACAGTACTCTGTTAACTGTCTAGCCCCTGCTTTGACCAAGTTCCTCCAGGGAGGCATTAATTCCTGGAACTAAAGTAACAAGCAACACAGAACTGAAATACTAAACTAGGTCATAGGTGATAGTTAATGGAAAGCTGAAATTGCTCTGTTTCCACAGTCAGCATTGCAGAAGCCAGTGACATAAACAAATGAAGGCAGAGATCCAAAATTCTCTGGTTCCCCAGGACATGGCAAATCCCACATGTCCCCATTTGAGTTAAAACCACATTTTCTCTCCAGAACATGTGTCTTGTTTTTCCTTCCAGAACACGTGTCTTGAGTGTGATGGAACCGAATTTGTCCCTGTCTGCTTTTTATACAAGTAAAACACAGTGGAACGCAGACCTTTTAAGATAGATAGTTCATTCTTTGGGGGAAAGAGGTGTGGGGAGACAACATGCAAAGGAAAGTTATCTAAAATACCTTCTGGCTTATAATTATTCTGATTTTGAGACACTACCTCTAAACCAAGGTCTAATTCTCAAGTGGCAATAGCACATTTTCACTGACTATTTCCTCCTACCAGATATTTTGGTACCTCAAGTAACCGTCCCTCCCACCAGCCTCTACTTCCTTTTAAGACACTGAGAGCCTCTTGAAGTCAAACAAAATGACTCCTTTTACTACTTTTGAAACTAACCCTAGGGCTGAGGTCCTGGGGAATAAAATAACACATCATCTGGGTCAAACAAACCACTTGCACACAGCTGATGCACTGTCTAGCTATTTTGGCTGCTGAGAGAAATATCAGATTTGGCACTTGAGGGACGTAAGGCCTGGGCACCTCCCACCTCCTCCCCATGCAGGCAGACACTGGCCCAACCACCTGCCACATGTTCTGTTTTCTGGAAGCCAGTTTTGATTACCTGGTTTGATTTTTTCAAATACGGATAATCCCAGTCCATGAACAGAAAAGCCACCTGTGAGCCACAGGATCTGTTCTCCCCCAGGTCCTTTTCTGCCTGCCTGCAGGAGTGTAATTGATTAACTTGCCCATGTCCTCTGGGTCATCGCTCCCATGAGGACGAGGACAGATCATTGTCACAGTGTGCTTCCTCTTCAGGGCTCACACATGGTGCAGCGTTGACATGTTTGGCCTGAGAAAACAAGATCCATCCTAACACTGCAATTTCACGCAGGAACAGGGAAAGCAAAGAGTGAGGGTGAGCTGAAAATTAGCAACCAGGTCTTGCGATTTTGACTGCCAGTAGAGAAAACTCTTAACAAGATACCCAGAGGATGAGGATAATGCAAGTAAAGCAAGTAGATCAAAAGAAGCCCTTTTGACTTCACTTTTCACTTTGGATCAAACCGCACAAACAGCCCTTGGCCCTCTGCCAACTCCTCCACCCATAGCAGCAGCTCTCAGAGGTGGCTTCACTTGCCAGCTGCAACCTCTAGCACCCTTACTGTCTTTCATCAGCTTCCTTCCTCTCTTTTTATTCCCCTTTCTATTATTTCATCAGCGGTGTAAAATGGGTCTTTGAACACCACACAGTTCAGCAAAGCAAATTGTCTCAGTTTATTTTTTCCTTCACTTAGAACCTAAACAATCAATAGCCTTTGAGTAACTTCTATTTAACGTTTATTTACTTACTTGTGGCCTTGGTAACAGACTCCACAAAAAGCCCTGCAACGTAGCAGAGATTATCTCTTTTTTGCAATGATGATCCCTTACAATTTTTAGCATTAACAGGAAGTGATTTCAGTGTGCTTTGAGTGGGTGGAATAAAGGATACAATGACCCATTTATAGCAAATAGTGAGTCCCATCACTCCATGACAAATCAGCTTAGTCAACTTGAGTCAGCGCAGCCTGTTGTTCTGACAGAAGAACTTGGTTCTCATTTTGTAATGCTGCAAAGAGCATGTATGAAGACCTCTATTGTACTTTTTGGGCCCATCTTCCACCCATGGGAAAAGCTCAGGGGATTAATCCTCAAGGGTTCCTGGCATTCTTAAAATTCATGCTCCTATGCAATCACTTCAAAAAGTGTAACTTTTTAGTCTTCCCTTGCATCACCATGGCTTGGCCTGTCCCAGACTTCTTTATGAATGACAGAAAAGCAATGGGGTAAAAAAACAAGCAAAGGTGGCAGAAGGTCTGCATGGATGAGCAAGGAGCTCCTTTCTGAAATCAGACATGAAAAGGAAGTGTACAAGAGGTGGAAGTAGGAGCAGGTGATCTAGCAGTATAAAGCTGCTTTCCAATCTTACAAGGACAGGGTTAGAAAAGTCAAGGCCAGTTGGTGTCCAACAGCTAGTGGTGTACCCCAGGGGTTGATGCTGTGGCCAATACAGATTAACATCTTCATTACTGACCTTGACGTTGTGACAAAGTGCAGTCTCAGCAAATTCGCAGACAATAAAAAACTGGGAGGAGTGGCTGACACACCAGACTGTTGCATAGCCATTCAGCGGGACCTCAACAGGCTGGAGAACTGGGCAGAGAGGAACCTCGTGAAAGTCAGCAAGGGGAAATGCAAAGTCCTGTATTTGGGGCGGTATAACACTGGGTTCCAGTACATGCTGAGGGTTGACTGGCTGGAAAGCAGCTTTGCAGAAAAGGACCTTGGTGTCCCAATGGACAACAAGATAAACATGAGTCCACTGACAGGACAAGAGGCAATGGGCAGAAATGAAAAAAGATGAAATTCAATCTGAACACAAGAAAGCACTTTTTACTGTGAGGGTGGCTGAGCACCGGCACAAGTTGCCCAGGGAGGCTGCAGAGTCTCCATTTGTGGAGATAGTCAAAACCCAACCATACAGAGTCCTGGGCAATTGGCTCTATTTGACCTGCTTGAGCAGGGGGATTGGACTAAATGATTTTGAGAGATGCCTTTCAACCTCAACCCTTCTGTGATGTTATGAAAACACAGGAAATGTCATACCACCTTGCATTTAAGTATTTGAAATATTTGAGTTCTGATACCTCCCTATCTCCCATTTCCCAAGGATGTGGTA